GGCTCCCTGCTCAGCGAGGAGCCTGCTTCTCCCTCTGACCCTCCCCCCTCTCATGTACTCTCTCTCATTCTCGCTCTCTCAAATAAATAAATAAATCTTTAAAAATAAATAAATAAATAAATAAATAAATAAAATCCAGATTACATTTGGAAGACAGACAGGGAATTGTTCCTAAAATTGTTTTGCAAATAAACAAAAACACTTGCTACCTCCCTGCACATGCATCTTTGAAAAAACATAATTAAAGAAATATTTATTAAGCACTTACTCTGCTAGGCATTGAATTAGGAGGTGGCTATGTGGTGACTAACTGGGCACCCATGATCTCTGTTTTGATGAAGTACAAAAGTATATGTTGGCAAAAAAATAACTGAGAAGAATCCAAATGAACTCGATGCATAATTCTAATTAAAATAAATTGTAATTTTTGTAAGGTAAATTACAATAATTTAGCTTATCCTGATGTCAAAAAATATATATGTAAATATAGCATTGCTCCTTCTCTCATGCTGTTACCATGTTCTGCAATATCTAAATATAGATTTGTACAAATAAACGAAAATGAGCAATTTTAGTTACCAATTTTTCATGATAAAATACTAAAAGAATAGCTTGCAGAATATTACAGCATCTGCAATAAACTGATAAACTGATAGAGATGGGAGTTTTAAAAAAAAAAAAATCAACCCCTGACAGTAGTGCCTTCAACTGGTGAAATCATTCCAAAGTTTCCTTTCACGTATCTAGTAGAAAGCAGAATGCCGGCCGGACACCTGGCCCTGCAGCTCGCTAACAGTGTGCGCCTGGTCTGCACATTTCCCCTTGCAGTGCTGCAGACTCTCCTGACACTCGTGAAGCCTCCCTTCCGCCGCCGTCAAGGAATCGCGGACACGCTCTAACTCCTGCAGATGAGACTCCATCTGGCCTCTCAACTGAGTTGTAGCATTAGGGAAATAAGTGCAAAGTCACACATTCAGCATTAACGTTTTTACTATCTTAAATACTAGATATGCTCGTAATATAGTAAGTATTTTAGGTATAATGGTTTTAAACAAAAAGATTCAACCAAATAAATATGAATAAACATTAAGTGAGACTCTGCTATAGAGAACACGTACCTCAAAAGTGGGCTGTACTTTGGTTTTCAAAAAGTTTGTTGAGTAATACAACGCTGTATGTTAATAACATTAGAGTTAAAATTTTAAAAATATTTTTTAAAAAAGTTTGTTGAGTCAATGGATACAGTTTTATCAGCCTACAGGGGAGAATGTTTAACCTGCTTAGGAAAGCAAACTTTCTGAATCCTGTCATTTATCTTCAAGCATAGTTATTACTAGTAAAGCTGGTATGGTCGTTTGCTACTGTCCAGCCATCTAGCTAAAGTAACTGTCACTTTGTCAATCTTGTAACTCAGATATTTCAATTAGAATAGGCTTGCTGCACTCATCTTAGTCCAGATTGGTGGGGTTTATGGTGTATTATGTCAAGATAGCTCATATCATCAGTCCTCAGTAGACTGTTGTTTCATCATGAATATTACTAGGAGCAAGTCTCTCTAATTTTATCTACAGTCACCCCTTTGGCCACTGCAGTGCCTCACCATGACAATTTTGTGGAGATGTGACAAGAAGCACCCCTAAGAAATGCTTACACGGTTAATTAAGAAAAAATAACCAGACATATGGCATTTAGGATGTTTACAGGGAGGAAAACACAAGAGCTAGAGTCTTTCCCTGAGACAGGGAACACCTAGAGCTACCGTGCACATCTGGCATTCTTGATCACAAAAGATAAAACGAGAACAAAGCACACCTTTGGGACCCCAAACATCTGAGAGCCCATGAGAAAACCAGGAGACTTGACAGTGGAAAAGGAAAAGGAAAAATTTCATCTTAAAAAATGACTTTTCTGGGCGCCTGGGTGGCTCAGTTGGTTAAGCGACTGCCTTCGGCTCAGGTCATGATCCCAGAGTCCTGGGATCGAGTCCCACATCTGGCTCCCGGCTCAGCGGGGAGCCTGCTTCTCCCTCTGACCCTATCCCCTCTCATGCTGTTTCTCTCTCTCTCTCTCAAATAAATAAATAAATAAATAAATAAAATCTTTAAGAAAAAAAAAATGACTTTTCTGGTTTAATACCAGTTAGAAGACATTGTGACTCACGGTATCTGAAAATCACAGGCTTCTGCCCCATCAGCCTCCTGAACCGGTTTTTTAATAGACTTTTATTTACAGTGTTGCCTAGCAAAAAGAGGAGACCTTTGTGGTGGTACCTCTCGTGAGAGACAGAGACCAGGACACATGAAATGCTAGACATGTTGCTAAAAATAGGTGAAAAGTAATTCTAAGAAAGTAGTAAGTTGCATGTTTGGTGGGCTATCTTTATCTCTGTTTAACCAGCAGAATGCCTGCTCTGGCTGACCTCTTCTTCACACTGTGCCTCACTCAGACTTCTCAATCCCAAGACGTGGGGGCAACCCAGAGACAGTCACCTTATTACACTCAGTTGGAAGTGACTGGTAACATCCCATGACCTCTCCAGCCGGGAGTCAGTGTCCTACGACTTCCACTGCTTCCTTACCAAAACAACATAAGAAGACCCAAAGAGGGATGTGGTTTCACTTAAAAAGTTAAAAATATTCACAAAAACATCATAACTTGCCAACACTGGCCTTCCCCTCACTCTGTTGCAATGGGGTGATAAAAGGGAAATCATGCTGCTTTTTTAAATATTATTTTTCTTCCAAAAAGCATCTAGCAGCGAATATTTACTTTACTTTACTTTTTAGACACAAAAGATTTAGTATCCAAAACAAAAAAGTGGGATTAAAAAGGAGAGATATTCAAATTTGCATATTTGTGGCTGATGAAGCCCGTGATAACCATTTTTTTTTTGAGATATGTGAGTCTGCTCTTGTATCAGAAAAATTAAACACTTATGCTATTTTCCATATATTAAGGAAAAAGTAAAAAAACATTCATACAAACAAACATTTCAAGCCTGGAGGAAACATTATGTCCTTAGAAAACAAACTCTTACAGAGATTTAAGACAGATAATTCCTAGGTCAAAACTAGAGAAAATGACCGCAATAAAAGAATATGTATAATATTCATAAAGTATAAAACATAAATATTATTTTATTGCTTAAAACATCAAACTCACCTTCTCTAATTTTTTATTTTTGTTTTTTGTAATTAGGTTATTCTCACGTAGTAAATTTTCACATCTGCTTTTCACCATTTCAGCTGCTTCTTGCAATTTTTGTATCTGAAAATAAAATATATTATTAGAGTAACATATTTTATTAAGACCATAAAGTAAATTAAAAAACTAAACATCTGAATTTTTAATTTTAAACAAATCATTATTTCCCTATTAACACCCTCAAAATCTTTATCTAATGTTATTCCTACTTTAATACAAAAATCGCTCAGGGCTCTGAGGTTGCTCCAATCCACAATCCTTTTATGATTTACCTGTCTTTTCACATCAATATTTCTAGACCCTCCCCTTGAGCCTGAATATTAGAGAGATCTTTATTTGCAGGTCAAGGTCACCTTAAAGAATCAAAAAAAAAAAAAAAATCTGAAGACTAAGGAGTAACTGAAATATGCTGACATGTATGTCCACATGCAGTTTTGGGAAAAGTCACATTTATTATAACAAAATAAAATACATTTTTGTTTTCTTAAAAAAAAAATCAATCTCTGGTCCAAACTAGCTCCCATACCAATTATTTTACACTTAAAACAATGCTTAAAAAAAAAAAAATCTGAGGCCTTTATACGAAGCTCAGAGCCTAGAACATGCACATTATTCTTGCTGAGGGATTAAACCCAAACACCCAGCTGGACGACCCAGCTGACATTCTCAGTAACAGGCCCACAGTCCACCACAACCTCCATCCTACCTCTGGTAAGTTCCACATGACCGCAGGATTCTAACTAGATGTCTTGACTCCATCTTTCCATCTTAACATCCAGATGAACTTCCTTCCTACTTATCAACAGGATGCCCTCCTTAAGCTTTTATCTTTAGTTCATTATTCTTTAAGGCAAATGCTCTCTTTTCCAGTAAAACCCAGCTCTTTATTGACCAGTTTGTTACCATCATTAGGGACCTGCATCTCGTAAAGTTTTTCTTGAATACTACAAAGTTTCCAAAACATAAGGTTTTCTATAAACTGCCACTGAACACAGCTCTATTCCATATATATTTTCACAACTCTTATCCAGGTCTTTCATGTGAGCAAATCAGAATTTTATTTTATTTATTGGGAAAAAGGGAGTACTGAGTTTTAATGACCCTAGAAGGGAGTTATTATTCTAAATCAATGCCATTAAATATCCAAGATGACAATATACTAAGTTTAACAATATTATTCATAAGATTTATATTACATCTACATAATTAACTTTAGATCTACTTTTAGGAATAGCCAATACATACACAGTCAATGTTTGAATCAGGAGTCAGCAGAATCATCTACTTATAAAAATATGTGGGACCTTAAGAAATATATGGGACATATATTCTATCATAAAATAATAGCTCTACCTTTCTTCAGTTCTGCTTATTTAGATCATAAAAAAAATACAGTGTTTTAAATTGCCTACAAAATTTAACAATAAAATCAGTGCAATAATCACCTGAGTTTTACATACTTCAATAAGGGTCTTCTGCTGTTTTTCTACTTCTTGCAATTCTAAAAGTTCATTTTCAACAGAAACCACCTCATCCTTCAACGCATCAAGTGTAGTCTAGCAAGGAAAATATAAATAGATTTTGTAAATCATTAGAATTCATTTATACTCCAGTGCTAGGATTATAAAAACATAACTCATTTATCGAAAGGTTAATAATCACTGTTACTGCATATAATTACCACTTCAATTTAAGTATTTTCAAAAGTCAGTAATATTCATGAGTAACTATACTAAGACTTGTATGTAAGACATATATTTTTTAAATTTTTCTAAAACTTTTAAAATACCATGTTCTTAGATGGGAAGACTCATACTATTTGACATATCAGTTTTTTCCAAATGGGTAACACTTTAAATGCAATTTCAACCAAAAGCATAATAGTTGGGAGGAGGGGGAATATGAAAAAATTAATTTTAAAACTCATACGGAAAAATAAATGGGAAAGACTAATATAATTCTGAAAGGACTATTAAGGTAGAGAATCTCAGTACGTATTAGATATTAAGATGTATAAAGAACTAAAAATTTCAAGATACCAACGTAAGAATATAGAGGTCAATGGAACAGAAACAGAAAAATACACTAAAGTTATATTTAGTATATGATAAAGATTGAATTTTTAAATCAATGAGGAAAATATGGATCACTAAATAATGGTAATAAGACAACTGTTTAACTATTAGAAAGAAAAAATGGATGAACTACTTGCCTCCACCCAACATTATTTTCTATATTTACTTATATTTTAAAAATAAAGTTTTAAAATTTTTCACAGAAGATACAGCTAAAATTTTGATTTTAGGATAGCAAAACCCCTACTAAGCATAAAATCAGAAGAAGACATCAAGCACTGTAAGGGTTTGGGATTTTACCCTCCAAGTTGACAAGTGAGCCTGGAACAGTTTCACGCATATTAGCAGAAGACGTTGAGACTCCTGGGTCAGAGACACAAAACTTGGTTACAGCAAGAGCAGTAGCCAGATGTCAGATGTGCATTTGTCTCCCAAGCCCTGGTTCCCCTAGAGCGACACAATGAGGGCCAGATGCCACCTGCACACGCAGTGGGATGCACTGCGGAGGAGCAACCCCAAGTTTAGGGAACCCAGATCTCTCCTAACAGGCAGTAAGCACGTCTACCCTTTGGTAAGAAAACATGGCCATCTTCCAAGGATGCTCACTATACATCCTTGAAAAGAATGTCTGGATTGCAGGCAGTCAGTGCTTCTATTTATAAGATACGCAGAAATGTGACAGACTTAACAGAAGCCATAAAAGAAAAAAAAAATGTACCGATACATGTGTGTAAATATATCTCTCTAAATTTCATTGCCCCCTCAAAAAATTTAAGAGGCAAATAAAATGTAAAAGAGAGTAACAAATTATGACAAAAGATTAATACCCTTAGTACAGGGTTCTTACATATTAATTAGAAAAAAGACATATAAAGGATAATGAATAGGTAATTCATAAAGACAGAAATGTACATGATAGAAAAATACATGAAAAAACATTTACTAGTTATTGAAAAATGCTCTAGACACTGGATATTCCTTTATTAATGAATGAAAGAACCAAAAAATCCCTTCCTTCATGGGGCTTATGTACTCCACATATAGACAGACACAAAGGGGACAGATGAACAAAAAACAAGAATATTAAGTAAAACAGATCATACACAAAAGCAGGATAGGAATGACATGTTGGGGACGGGCCAGGGAGGCCTCCAGAGAAAGGGACCTCTGAGCAAACACTGAAAGGAAGTGTGGCTCTTTGAGGGAAGAGAATTCCCACAGAGAACGGCAACGGTGGGACAAGCCCTGGCCAGTTAGGGGAAAAACAGCAAGGCTAATGTGGCAGGAAGGGAGAAAACAAAGGGGAGAATGGAAGGAGATGAGGTCAGTGAAGTACTGGAAAGCCAGATGGAACAATGCTTTGTAAGTGTTTATTAACCAGATATGATTGGAGGGTTTTGGGTGGAGCAGTGACATGGTCTGACTTACATTTGTATGGGAACTACGCTATGCTGCACTGAAAGCTGACTGCAGCGGCGAGGGCGGACGCAAAGGGGGGTCAGGAAGTCACCGCAACTATGAGATGATGGTTGCTTAAACCAAGACAACTGCAGTGGTGCTGGGGAGAGGTGGTCAAATCCTACATCTATGTGAAGGAGATCTGTTGACAGACTGGAAGCAGGTGGGAGAGAAAGGAGTCAAGGATGACACCAGATGAAAGGTCGGATAATTGTTGTTAACTGAGATGCAGACAACTGTAGATGAGCCATTTGGGGGAATACAGGAGCTCTATTTTAAACATGCTAACTTTGAGACACCTGTTAAATATCTAAGTGGAGATTTCGAGTAGGCAATAGAAGATATGTCTGGAATTCAGGGGCAAGGTCTAGGCTAGAGATACAAATTTGAGAGCCCCCAGGATATAGACGGTAATTAAAGGCCCAACACTAGATGAGATCACCTAGCAAATTGGGAGAGATTTGTTTTAAAATTGTCTAGTACTGGGAAAAATATAGTGACCCATATGATGGGTAATTTGGAAATATATAACACCAAAAATGAGCCTCCCTTTTGACCATATAATTACAATCCTAGAAATTCATCCTAAGAAAACAGGCAAAAAGACTCAAAGAAACTACCCACATTTTTATTTATAGTAGCAAAACACTGGAACTAGTCCAAAATCCCCAAAACTATATGCTAAAATGGTAACTTTAGTTTCTTTGAGTTGTGAGATGACAAGTGATTTTTAAATTTTTCCCTTTATGCTTTTCTGGGTTTTTTTCAGCTCTTTATAGTGAACAAATAGAACTTACAACCATCCAAATAAACTCTTACAATTTCAAGAGAAGAGGTCACTGGGTCTTGGAAGCAGTATCAGCTAGATTCTTTTTTCATTTGAAATGTTTTAAAATCTAAAATTATTCTAAAGTCATTAAAAGTAACAAAATACATCTAGGCAATTTTACATTACAGAAACATATGCCAAACACACCTAGGTTTTTTTCCTTAAACAAAAATCCAAAGAATAATACATTAAAAATACATGTTTCCGAATTATTAACAGAATATAAGATGTAAACTTTAACCCAATGATTCTCATACCTATGTAATTTAAAATTAATTCTACTTACCATTTGATTAAAAATTAGATTTATAATTGATGAAATATTATTTTAATCCTTTCTCTCTGAAGGTTATCAAGGAAATTAAGAAAATAAACATAATAAAATTGTTTCCAATAAATATTCATGGAGAGCTAAGTGTATGTCATATCTTCCCTGGGCATTCTGGGCATATAAAGATGGGAGTTTATAAAGAGAGACTCATCCTGATTGAAAAGACTTTGGGGAGGAGGTAGCACTTGAGCTGAACTAAGGTAGGTCTTAGGTACTAGGAAAAATGATTCCAAACTGTAAATATAGTAAAACTACAGGAAGAGATACAGGAAAACATGAACAAATTGCAGGAAATAATGAGTACTCATATTTGGCTAGAGCCCAGGATAACTAGAAGACTACAATTCCTAGTCTCCCTTGCACTTAACTGGGGCCATGTGCCTGAATTAAGTAGAAGAGTAGAGTGGTATGGAACTTACAGGAAGTCTCCCTAAGGGGAGATGAAAAAAAAAAGGGGGGGTGGGCTATAACTCATCTTTTCCCCCTGGCAATCTCCAGCAATCATTTTGGATCATGAGGGTCATAACCTAGGAATGGCAGAAGAGAGAGCTAAAAAGAGGGTTGGTTCTCTGATGCCATATCTGCTTTCAACTGCCAACTCTGGCCTTTTTACATAGATTCTTTTCTGGGTTCTATTTACGATCCTCCAAAAATAGTATTAAAGAGCTGAAAATGATGCTGTCATCTTTTTTTTTTTTTTAAGATTTTACTTATTTGAGAGAGAGAAAGAGAGAGGGAGACACAGAGGGAGAGTGAGAAGGAAAAGCAGACTCCCCGCTGAGCAGGGAGTCTGATGCAGGGCTCCATCCCAGGACCCCAGGATCATGACCTGAGCTGAAGGCAGATGCCTAACTGACTGGGCCACCCAGGAGCCCCGATGCAGTCATCTTTAACCAAGTCTCATCTGGTTACTTGTATCTCTAAGTGAGAACTCAATTTTTTTTTTCTCAGAAAGTATAAAAACTTCTTCCCCATTTTTTTCTCTGGTACACATACAAACCAATCACCCCTTGGATTTGATTAAGTTGGAAAATTCTTTCTGGTTATGAAGCAGCCAGGAACATACTTTCTGGTTTCAAACAGACCAGGCCTGAGGTTATATCCTATCGTAACCATGACACCTAGAAAAAAATCTTATGCATTAAAGTTAATGTAATTTTGGATGATTCAACAGCTAAAACTGAAGAACAAATAAAGTTTTTAGAAGTCGAGACAGTTATTCAACCTCATAAATCTTATTTAATATTGCTGAAAACAACTTTAACATATATCTGTGTATATATAACTATAAACATTTAAAAATCTATATACAAATATGTGTGTCTATATGTGTATATATAGATATATAAATATGGATATATCTGTAGCTTTAGAAGTTGCATATTATAATGATCTTCTAATACCCTTACAAACATAAAGGTCAAAATGACACAAGAGCACTATCCTAATCATGCAACCATTCCAGCTACTTCTACTAAGTTGTCATTGGACAATATACTCACATACACACACGAACACACATTACCTTTTTTTAAAAAAAAAAAAAAGATTTTATTTTTAAGTAATCTCTACACCCAATATGGAGCTCAAACTCACAACCCCGAGATCAAGAGCTGCATGCTCCACCAACTGAGCCAGCCATCGCCCCAGGACACACATTACCTTTAATTTTGTATTCTCAAGATTCAGAGTTTCATTTTCATATTCAATTGAGTGAAGTTTTCTAAGAATTTCTTCACATGAATTTTTTCCAAGGTCTTCCACTTTCTTCAGGTCTTCCAAAAGATTTGTAACTTGCCTTTATGAGATAAATGATATATTTTATAAAAGTCATAGAAATTTTCATTCAAATAATACTTTTTAAGTGTGTTTCTGAAATTATGTTGCTAGGGTACGTGGTTTTAAAGTTAGTACAGGTCACAGAACAAAGTGAACAGGAAGCAGTTATCTGCCAGGCTACTACCCGCAAAACCTTGATTAGCAATATTTACTCACTGAGGATGCCAATGAAAAATTGCACACCATTCCCTTTGCTATTCAGTAAAATATCTGAACTATTATCTCAGTGGCCATCTGTCTCTCATTCACACACATGCACATACATACACACAATCTCAAGACCAAGGTTAAATAAAAGGATCAAGTGAGGCAATAACTCACCTCTAGAAGCGAATTATACATGCTAGTTTACAATGATAAAACTGAAGAGAATATACAGAAAATAAAACATTTAAAAACAAATGTGCAGGGTTCATTACTATTAGTTTATCAGTAATAAATTTCAAAGCATAAAAGATAGGCATTTTTACTCATTGATTTTCTTTGTTATGCAATTAAGGCACTTTAAGGAACAGTAATTTTTAGAATTTTGAAAGCATTTGTGCTGTTATTGTAAGCTCTGTTATATATTCTTACTTACACATGCTTGTTTGGTAGAGAACTATCACTTCCATTTTAAGACAAAGTAGTGTTAACATTTAACTGCAAATAATAGATGACACATACCCAATTCCAAATACTAACCTACAAAATTCAAAATGTGAACACCAATGCACTTTTTAGTGGGTAATCATTTTATTGTATTTTTAGAATAGAATAAGAAAAGTCTTTAAAATTATAAATAGCAAAAATATCGAATCATATGGACAACCTTCACCACATGTAATCCAGAAGAACCAAAATGCAAACTGCTTAAAGAGGAAGGAACTGAAAACACTTCTTATTAACCCGTACAAAGATTCTAAATTTTTTTCTTACTTTTGCATTGTTTCAATCTGAACTTCCAATTCAGTTTTTTCTATTAGAATTTTCTCATAATGACTTTTCCAGGCATTGGAAGCTGAAATTGTTTCAGACAGCTTGGCTTCCTAAAAAATACATCAAGTACTCATCTGATAATTGAGTAACACTTTGGTTTCGTGCAGGGCTCTAAACACAAATACAATATAAACAAGGAAACATCCTATAAAGGATGGAATTTTCGATATGGAAAATTTTAGTGTACAACTCTGAATATAGGAAACTTTTAAAGTAAATGTTGATAGGATCTTTATAGTAGTATTGTTTTAACGCGCATTGTGGCAGTTCCAACACTACATTTTAAGGATGTTGATATAACTATTTTCAAACAATGTTTCATAATTAATGAAGATAACTTCCTTCCTATTTCTTGAGCTTTTCATTTTGCATTCTATATATAGAAGATGATAACAACCACATAAGCATCAGAGGAGAAGGAAGCCCTCTTTTGATATATATAGAAGCTATCTGCAATTCCCTAATTCCATAGCATTTAATAATGCAGCCTTATTTATTGTTGCTATAATGATGTCAAGCTGTTTTGTAGAGGTCACCCCCATTGACCTTCAAACATTGTTACTGTCAACAAAGACATGAAAACTATAGTAGTGGCTTGTCGACTTTGAATGTGAGCTCCCCGAGGTAGAGATTTTTGTGTTTTGTTCATTGCTAGGGCCTTGAAAGTGCCTGGCATACAGAAGATGCTCAATAAATAACTGTCAAATGAATTTACTCTTTACAAACCCACCTAGTGAGCTATAGTCATTGTGTCCCCTGTCTACATTCTACAGGACGACAAACTCACTGGGAGGACAATAACAATAATTATTAATCAGAAGACCCAGAAGTAATAATGATAGCAGACAGTATTTATTGGGGGCTTCTTTCTTTCCTTCTATCATTCATCCAGTCACAGAACAAGCATTTATTTAGCATCTACTATATGCAAGACTTTTTTGGCTTATACTTTTTTACAGTAATGTTGTTGATACGTTGAATAAAGCCTAGTATTCTGTTTTCATATTTTATGTAAAATGAATTTTAATTTGCACAATGAAGTATGTAAGTTGGGATATATATATATATGTGTATATATATATATATATATGTGTATATATATATATATATATATGTGTATATATATATATATGAAGTGTAAGTTAGGCAATATACTATAATGTAAAGATACCCGGAAATTTTATCTATAAAATAAATGCTATGAAGGGAATTCAAGATATGATATGACTGTTGTGGGACTACTTCAAAAGGAGTGGTCAAGGAAGGCCCCTCTGAAGAGATGACAATTAAAAAGATACCTGAATGATCAAAAAAGAACCAGCTATTGTGAATCCAAGAAGAACATTACAGCCAGAGATAACAGCAAACAATAAAACTCTACTCATTAGAGGAACAGAAAGGAGGCCAATATGGCAAAATTATAGGATAGCCAGGCACTGTGCTTTGATATATATTTCCTCATTTAGTCCTCTCTACAATCATATGAAATAGGAATATTATTATCTCCTATTTTATAGATGAGGAAACAGAATCTTAGAGAGGTTAAATACCTCACCCAAAGTCACAAGATGAACAAGCAGAAGAGCCTTCCTATACCATGATCTGGGGTATGCGTGACATGATGCTACCTAAACAGGAAAATCCCGAGAATGTTAATGACTTGATTAGCTTTCACCACTCAACAATATTTTCAGGCATTCAACTCAGTCTAATGACCTTGTAGATTTTGAACTTAGTCCTTAATTCTTTTTGTCTAGTTAGATTCTTCTGAATGTCATTCATCTTTAAGTGTTAACACCTGAGCTTATAAAATATCAAGTTGTTTTGTTTACACAAGAAAGTTTATGCAAGTCCACTTTCATTTCTAAAAGCTTGTAATAATTCTATAAGCCTTAACATCAGTTCTTAAGAGGTGGAATACCCATGAGACATTAAAAAGAGTCAATGTTTTATCAATTGCTAATTGAATAAATACAATAATTCAACAAAAACAACAAAGCACTAAGTCCAGTTTTCAACTTTGTACTACACCCAAAGATAACTTTCACATGGTGTGTTTACGTCAGTGAATGGCTTTAAGTGCATTACAAAGTTCAAATGAAGTGAATTACTGAATACAGTCATATGGTCTAATAACATAAATCAGCATTTCCCAAACTGGTGTTCCTTAGAACCAGTTCCAAGAGCTGTTTTGTGGGTAAAACAAGAGTTCTGTGGTTAAGTAAGTGGTGAGAAACTCTGAGTTCAAAACTCTTCATTATGCTGTTTTACTTTGCCTACTCAGGGCCTTTAATATGCTAATGTACACTGTCCATTTCCAAGGGGGAATATGTATGAAGTGCTACCCTTAGCTTGCCATAGATGCACTGGGACACTTTTACTATATCCTTTAATAAAGTTCCCAAGGAAATACTGATATAATTCAATATGCAAATGTGACATTTTCTGTAACCTTTCAAAACAGACTAAAGCAAAAGAGTGTGAGTGAGGTTTTCCTAGCATCAGTAGCACTAAGAGAAGATTATTATATTAAGCAATATGACATTAACTACATAACCTAAGGGCATAGGACAGTTAAGGAAGAATGTATAAACTCACCTGATCTCTAATTTGGGAGGTAAGGTTTTCCATGTCTCCAGTAAAGTGTTTAAGCCTTTGTCTGTAAATTTTAGATGCCTTTTTTAGAGCTATAGTTTTTTGCTTGCTTGATTCTTTCATTGCTACAGCTTCGTGCTTATTCTTTCTCAGTTGTAAGTTCCATTCAGTTATCTTGGTTTCTAAGCTCTAAAAAAATATTAGTAGTACTTAAATTATTTTAGAACTCCAATGTTTATGTCAACATTGTAAAAATATGTAAATAATCTTCCATAGATTTTATCAAAAGGATTAATCATAGGACTAATAAAAAGCAAAACAGTAAAGAAAGGTGGTTTCACCAATGTTTATTTGTAACATTATAGAATGCAAATTTAAAATATATAAGCCTACATAAAACTAATCCTACTCTTATTAAAGATACTAATACTGGTGATTACAGCACATTTTTTAAACTTTTGTAATTAACTAGAACTTGTTAAAATTTCACATCTAGAATATTATACATAGTACTAGTTACTGAAAATCAAAAACTGTAATTGAGCTGAAGACAATTCAAACAAATTACACAAAGCTCAAAGGAATCAGTAGCTCCCTACATATGTCAGGGCTTTTCAGTTGAAATGATAAAGGCTTAAAGGACGTAAGATCAAAATCTATAGATCACAAAAAATGTAGATGAGATAGACTTATTTTGCAAATTTTAATTTACTAGAATTAAGGGGCATGCCTTGACATTTAAGAGTTACATCAAGGGGAATAAAACTACTGCTTTATCCAATGAGTAGTAACCTTATGGAAGTTACTATTCCAAGACTAAGAGGTTTAGATGAATAACTATCAGATCCACAACAGTAAGGGTGAAAAGATGTTTGAGGGCCATGTTTCTATCCATTGAAATTGATGGTGTTAATTGGGCATGACTGTTTCCTTACATAACTAGAGACAGAATAATAGGCTGGGTGGATGATGGATATGATTTAGTGTGATAACTCTCATGCTTTTATTTCAAATTATTTTAAGGCTTTGTATTTAAAGCATTTGACTACTAAATATCTAAGAATTTAGAGACCTAAGGCTTTAATGCTTTTACATTTTTTGAAAGTTGTATAATACTGAAAAAAAAAATATTACAGAATTTAGGTTTTAGTTTAACATTTCTTAGACAATCATTTTAATGAAAAAAATCAAAGGAGTCAAAGTAAAAGACTGGGTTTTCTACTTAACTCCATGATCAATAAAAACTATGCTTTTTAACTTCCACTAGAATTTAGATTAAGAAGTACATATTAAATAAGATTTAAAGACTAGCCCTCTTTGAAAAGTGCACTCGGTAGATTAAGACAAGCAGCAAAATACTGTTAAACAGGGGCACCTGGGTGGCTCAGTCGGTTAAGCGTCTGCCTTAGTCTCAGGTCATTATCCCACGGTCCTGGGATCGAGTCCCACATCAGGCTCCCTATTCCGCAGGGAGCCTGCTTCTCCCTCTCCCTACTGCTCCTCCTGCTCGTGCTCTCTCTCTGACAAATAAATAAAATCTTAAAAAAAAAATACTGTTAAAGAGTCTCTAGAAGTCTACTTAAACTAAAAAATCCCATGAAATGTTTTAGTAAGTTGTTGGGGGAAAACAAGTATGAGTAAGAGCAGTACAAGTCTACTGAAGAGAATAGACTCCACAGGAAGTACAGCTGCCATTCCTCTAGGAAACCACAGGGTGTCATTAGCACACCATGAATAATTGCTACACTTTCATAAAGCATTTTAAACACCAAGGTGAAATAAATCCTTTGGAACAAGATTCCAGTCAGAACTTCCTCACTAGATTTATCCTATCCCACATTTGAGCACTATTAGGAAGTATACTAAGCTATCAAATTATTTTTATGGTTTCAAAATAAATGACTCTCCGCAGTCTCTTGCCAAACGAATGGACATACATTTAAAGTCAACTATTTGCCTTTCCTTATTTCCAAGGAGCTCTACATGCTGCATATTATAAAGATAATTATTCTGTTTCTTCTAAATTGTGAAAATATTTATTCTTAACTGCTATATTATAAAGATCTTGAAAGAAAAATGGGTTAAAGTATCTTTGGAATACTTCTCAGAGAACTAAAACGTAAATTTTTCAAGACCTATTAAAATGAATTGACTCACTGGAGTCAAAACTAAAATATTAAATGAGATTTATGTTGCCAAACTGAGTTCATTATCTTTGTACTCCAAAAAGAACCTTGTGAAACCTAAATCGAAGAACTAAATTCTGACCGCCCCCCCCCAATAACTTAATGCCTTAAATTCCAAAATTGTATGTTACAGGGAGGGTAGAAAAATCAGTAACCTAATGAAACTTCTTGTAATTATTTCTAAACAGCAGGGTTTTTGTAAAGGAATTTAAAGTATTAGAAGAATGTCATGGCAAAATCTTAAGATTTTAGTCTTATATTCTCTAAATTATCATATGAAATTATTAAAATTAACTTTAAAATATCACTTAATATTTCATTTTTAAATTGAAGAAAATGTTTTCAAAAATTTCCCAAATGCTATTTGAGGACATAACTAAAACTTGTGGAAGATAAATTGTGATAGATGATTATCTGAGGTGTTAAATCACGTGTATTCTATTGTATTTACCATGACAGGCTAATGCAATATCAACTCTAGTTCATCTGTAATGCCCTAGGACTCCCATGCAAACGACACAGGGAACCAATGGGGGAAACTGCTTAAAAAGCACAGGTAGGAGGACAAAGGATAAAATTTACATTCCGCATAAGCCTGCTTAATGTCCCCTTACTGGGCAAAAGCTTTTCATCCTTGAAGAAAAACAAAAACCAAAACACCCCAAGCGCAGTCTTGAAACATGCCACAGGTTGCAAACATCTGCCATGATTCAGGAGTGCAAAAGCAAAGAGAAATTTAACACCGATGTCCTCACACTCCAGGGGGTTATCATTGTACACTTCTCTTCTCCAAGTGAGAACACTGCTTCTTTTCCTTTGGCAAAAATAATGACACAATAGATCCAGTCAGCTTGTGTCATGTCATAGTGACCTCAAGTTCTTATTTCAAAGTGCCTGTGAGGCTTCCAGAAGAGTATTAAAACCACTGAGTTTAAACCAAAATATTCCCCTTAATGACACTGCTAAAAAAACTGCATGACAAGAATGTTACTCAGTTTTCTAAACACCAAAGCTAAGTAACTGATTTTAGGGTTGTTACCATTCATGACAAACACAAAAAATAATAGGCATTTACTGACTGCCTACTAAATGTGAGTTATGTATTTATGTGTAGATGTAGAAAATAGACAGGAATACTATATCCCAAAATATTAATAATGGTTTCAGTATTTTTAAATTATTTTAATTTTTTCCTTTGTATTTTACAAATTTTCCACAATAAACATAAATTAACTATATAATGGGAAAGATTTTTTTTTTTTTTAATTCAAGCTCTATAAATCCTTCCTAGACTGGTATTAAAGAGAGAGAGAGCATTTCTATCTTGGGATTTAGAACCAAATCTTTAGATGGGCCAGAAATCTTAAGATCTGCCTCAGATACGTATTTCCCATGGCAACACTTAAATTGAATTCTTCCAAAACCACCAAATTCCAGAACTAAGGAAGGGCTTTATAGTTGTTCATTAATTTTATCACTTAAACTATAAAAATGACTGAATATTTATAACCTTTATGTATTCTTTTAATTTATCATTCTCTGCTTCCTTTTTATGAATTTGGAGCTGTAGTCGTTCATGTACTACTTTTACTGATTGTGAAAAACGGTTTGCTTTCAAAGCATTTGCCTGTAACATAGAAAACCAAAAAAATGTGTTATTTGATATATTTCTCCACAATCTTTAACTTTATCCATATTTAGACATGATCTAAAAAGTTGATAAAAAGCAAAGCACCACTTTACATTAACCATGACCCCCCCATTATAAATTGTACATAAAACTATGGGGCTATTTTCCCCTCCCCCCTTTTATTTAATGGCTCCTGATAATCTCCTTTTAAAAATTCCTACCTATCCTAAGTAAATTATATCTAAAATGCTCCTATAAACACTAAAATTCCTTAATTTATACTAAAATTGAGATACAAATTTATTCATAGTTCCTAATATATAGTGATTTATGCAATTACCCTGACTTAAAGACCATAAAAATCTTTTAAAAAGAAACTAAAAAAACTTGTAAAATATCCAAATAATGTAAAAACACTTCTGTGTCTATTTCTGAGGATATGGGGGCCAGGATGGAAAGAAGGAAAAGAGGGAGTCAATATTAAGAAAATATGATGGATTAAGCTCAAAATTTGCTTACCTTTTCATTCTGAAACAAACAAGAAAGTTCTTGAATATAGGTCTCCTTTTCAAGTACCTTCTTCTTAAGATTCTTCAGCAAATATAATGTAAGAGTTAGAAATATCACAATTTGGATAATGTTGGCTAATTTTATAAAACCAAGCAACATATAAATAAAAAATGTCAGAGTAGACACAAAGTATAAAAAGACTTACAGTATTTTCACTTTCATTATCAGTTAGCTTCTCTAACATGCTGGATAAACTGTCCCCTACCTATGAAAAAAAGATATTATAAATCAGTATTGACAAACATAGTTCTCTACATATAAAAGTAGGAAGAGGAATAAGCATCACTTAAGAAATTAAGACGGACAACTATTATGCACAGTTCAGATTTTTAAAAAGGTCATCAGATGGATTTTTGCCTAAGTGTTCCAAATCATCTTTTGTCCACAGTTTATGAAATTATATACTAATTTCTAAATAACACCTCAGACAACACAAGCCAATGACACAAAAACCACAAAAATCTTGTATACAAAGGAAGCTCACCATGCTGCTTATAAATAGGTAAAAAATATAAACCACCTTAATTTTAGCAAGTAAGATTATTTTTAAAGAATCACAGCACATTAGTAAAAGAATTCTATGTAGATATTTTAAATGAGAACATAGAAAAATGTTTATTCACTTTGAGGGTCACACTCCTGCTTGGGAATGTGAAAAGCTATGAATTCCTTTCACCCAAAAGTATTTGTGCCATGTACATCTAATGCAAAATTGCATACACAATTTCATGGACTGCATGAAGCCCACTCTTGGGACTCTATAGAAGGACACAGTGAAATTGCTTGGCATACATATATTTTCATTTCTCTTGGATATAAACAACTTGTAAATAAATGTTCACAGCAGCTTTATGCATAACAGTCAAAAACTGAAGCAACCTAAATATCCATCAACTGAGGAATGGACAAATAAAAATGGAATAGCCATACAATGAAATATTATTCAGCAATAAAGAGGAATGAAGCACTGACATGTGCTACAACATATTTGACTTTGAAGGCACTATGCTAAATGAAAGGCGGTTATGAAGAACCACATTTTATATGAATCTATTTACATGAAATTTCCAGAATGAGCAAATTCATAAAAACAGAAAGGAGATAATAGGGTAAGGAGGGGTGGGTGGGGTTGGGAGGGAGGCGAACTTCTAAAGGACCTGGGGGTGGGGTGGAGTTCTTTTTGTGGTGATGAAAATGCTCTAACATTGACTGTGGGGATTGCTGCACAGTTCTGCAAATACACTCAAAATCACTGAAGTGTGCACTTTAAATGGGTGAATATGTGAATTATCTCTCAACAAACTGCTAACCCCAAAAATAAATGAATGTATGAATACAATGGTACAATGGAGCTTAAATTCTAAGAAAATTTTGTTTTCATCAGCTGAAATGAAATATAACAATGAAAAATTCTGAGATAGAAAATACAAATATATTTTCTATAAAAACATGCTGCTTTCACGTAGAACTATTTGTGAAACGTTAAGAGTACGGGTTAGTTTCATGATTGACATTTCAAACGAAAATTCAAGAATTATTTCCATTTCAAATATACCAATAATTCAATTTCTACAGTTTCAGAAATAGCAAATCCTTCAAGTGAGAAATATATCTATTAAATTAGTGCTTAGGGGTCCTTACTTGTTGGTATTCTGTCTTTCTAAGATGTTCTAAAGCTTGTTTTACACGTTTAAAAGTGTCTAATTCTTTTGTTAATATTTCCTTCTGTTCAGAAATCTTCTTCAAATTGGATGCAAAAAGATTAGCCTGACAAAATATAAGAACCACATACCCATTTTAAGATACAGCATTTAAAAAAAAAAAAATCTAAAAAGATACAGCATTAAGACACTCTAAAATACAACATTGCTATTATCAAAGAATACTTTATCCTAGTAACAAAATCATTTTTGCATATAGTAAGAGTAAATTTTGCCAAGCTTATTAATAGTACATTAAAGTACATTGCACAGGGGCGCCTGGGTGGCTCAGTCGTTAAGCGTCTGCCTTCGGCTCAGGTCATGATCCCAGGGTCCTGGGATCGAGCCCCACATCGGGTTCCCTGCTCAGCCAGGAGCCTGCTTCTCCCTCTCCCACTCGCCCTGCTTGTGTTTCCTCTCTAGCTGTCTTTCTCTCTCTGTCAAATAAATAAAATCTTTAAAATAAATAAATAAATAAAGTACATTGTATATTAAAGTAATGAAATCAAAATAAGGGCTTAAACCCCGAAGTGTTTCAGGCATTTATTTTAATGAAACTAATAGAATACAATCTATTTTTGTCTCTAACTCAAACTTCAGTACACTGAAATTTTAGAATACAGGTTTCTATTCTATACAAAACTATAGAAAATAGATATATTTCATCTCTTAGAATATTTGTTTAAATTCACTCTTGAAATAGTTGACTCTCTAGTTCAATCTTGGATAAGTTAAGCACCAAGGTTAGCCTCTTAACAAGTGCATGCCTGAGATTATCTCTGAAGAAAAGAATTGCAGCTAATGACATAGGAGACTGATAAACCTGCAATTTTTAATATCAAATACCAGTATGTGAGCATAACTGTGTTTCGATACAAGACTGCAGTTAATGCATTCTGAGTATTATGCTAGCTGTCTATTTTATTAGATGTTCATAAGTCAGGTACTCACATTTTCAAAACTAATCTCTTCAACAGTATCCTTAAATAATGGCAAAAATAATTCTACAGAACAGGTTGCCAACTCAGCTTCCTTAAATGTTGCTTCCAGGTCAGTCTTTTCATTTAGGATGTCCTGCTTTAGACTAATTAGATACGCACAAATAAAATTTAAGTTAAATCTGTCACATAAACTAGTTATACTTTTTATGCAAATATAGCACAGCGTTAACTAAATATTACAGTTCCACAAATTGCTCTCCAAAATATAACAGTAAATGGTCCCTGAAAATGTATGAAATTTTTCCTATACTCCCCTATTTTTCTATACTTAATATACACAGAGAAAGTTTTTGAAACGTTTAGATATGTAAAACACAAAAACCACCAACAGCAATGCTTCACTGTGCTACTTGTAATTGTTCAACATCTCTTTTCTGGTTTGTAAAATGATTTGTGTGAATGTGTTTATGTCTTTTTTACTTCCCTTTTTACTCCCTACTCCAAACCCAAAAGATTTGTCTTTCTAGACCTTATTCCCAAATGCTTTCTTGAAACTTGCTGTTCTTCACAAAAAAAATTCCTCCAGAAGAACAAATAAGCTAAACAAACGGAACACAAAAAACTAAAGCTCTCCACATTGCAAAAATCCTTCACACTTGGCTTTATAATATATTATCATCATTCAAAACAAAACTATTAATATTTGCCTTCTTGATTACCTAGACACTACTGTGTATCACTGTAAGAGATCTCTCTTTGGTTACATTTTTACATCCTGAAATCAGGATGCTTCCTGTAATCTTTGTTAAGAAGCAGTCCTGAGCTCTTTCCTGCACATGCCCAGAACTAAAAGTGTCAAATGCTTTCAAGAATGCCCCAGAGATGGGGTGTAGCACTTTTTAACCCCTAAGAATGGACGGCCATAGAGGGGTTGAAGGAGCTGGTGAACTAGGAATGTTTAGCAACATTCCAGAAGCAAGACTCCAATATAGGCTTGCTGAATATTATTAGAGCCCAGCACCAATAAATTTTAGTTCAGTTAAAGATCGTCCTAAGAAATGCCACATCGCCAATACTCTTAATAGCAAGGACAACTCTGAGTCAAAAAGTGACTAAGAGTTGGATATTGAGTATAAAAAAATTTTGAGAATACCCTACTTTATTTCACTTATGTTTTATTTTTTATTTTTATTTTTTTAAAAGCATAGTTATTTGAAGTCAAAAATCTATGTATAATTAAGTTTGAAGGAGCTTTTTCAATATTTATAAACAAAATAAATCATAAGAAAGCATTGTATCTTTCTTCAATAGGCAGTTTTTCTTTCTTTACAAAACAATATAATGGCTCATCAACAACTGATGGGATCTTAGAGGCTATGTCAGAAAGCAGACTGTGTTCTTAATTACTGCTGGCTTAACATGATGGGTATAAGATGTTGGCTATAAATGACAGTTGTCCATTATTAAAAACCATGGGCAGAAGAAAGTCAAGAATGGTTATATATGACCAAATATCACTGTCACTGGGCGCCTGGGTGGCTCAGATGGTTAAGCGTCTGCCTTCGGCTCGGGTCATGATCCCAGCGTCCTGGGATCGAGTCCCGCATCAGGCTCCCTGCTCCTTGGGAGCCTGCTTCTCCCTCTGCCTCTCTCTCTGTCTCTCATGAATAAATAAATAAAAATCTTAAAAACAAAACAAAACAAAAAAACAAGTATCACTGTCATTTACAACAAGCTAAATAGAAACTGGACTATACTACCAATGGTGACAATAATGGTGTTTTGAGGCTGTCATTTTTGGGGGCCCATGGGTGGCTCAGTTGGTTGTCTACCTTCAGCTCAGGCCATGGTCCCGGGGTCATGGGATCAAGCCCTGCATCAGGCTCCCTGCTCAGCGGGGAGCCTGCTGCTCCTCCTGCTTGTGTTCTTTCTCTTTCTCAAATAAATAAATAAAATCTTCAAAAAAAAAAAACTTGTCATCTTGGTAAGCAATGAGTCATATAAATAGCAAGTGTATTCCCTATTTTTTTTAAGATTTTATTTATTTGGGGGGAGGGGCAAAGGGAGAGGGAAAGAGAAAATCTCAAGCAGACTCCCCACTGAGCGTGGAGCCCAACACGGGGCTCAATTCCACGACCCTGAGATCATGACCTGACCAAAATCAAGAGCTGAACACTCAACCAACTGAACCACTCAGGCACCCCGTGTATTCCTTATTCTAAAGGAGATAGCAAAATATGACAGGTATTTGTTATATAGCAATGTTCCAAATGACAGTGAATTAGTACTCATCAACTACATTTCCAACATCCCATAGTACTTCTATTTTCATTTATCTTAGCTATGAGGCTTAATACTTTAATAATTCTCAATAGATAAGGCTTTCATTTTTATTTGCTTTCATTAAGATTTCAAAAACCTAGCCCAATTCTGCTAAATGAGTACTGATTTGTAATCAGGGTAAATAAATATATGAATTGCTAGATTTGAAGAAGATACTCTTGAAAGAATGCTGTATTTGATTCAAATAATTTACAGTATGGACAAAACATGAAATGTTGAAATCAGAAAATTAGATATCCCCTGCTATTATTGAAAATACCAGCTGAGATGACTTTCACTGGCAGCCTGTGGTAAATGTTCGTCCTCTGGTGTACTTGTAAAATGAGAACATAGTTTCTCTGAATGACTTCCATCAATTGAAGGCTTCTCCATAAATTTGGTAAATGGATTTATAGGTGGCTTCCACAACAACTTTTCTTCATAAGCTGAAAGCTAGGAAATATTTTAGTTATTAAACTTATCTCAGTAGGTTCTTTTTTCTGTCATTACTCTATAAAATAAAAATCCTAAACATGTATAAAGAATTATATTTTACAGACAAAATAGAAATTATAACTGCTACTCATTTGTGATACTAATTCAAAAAGTATCAAAATTGCATTGCCCAAGCATTCAACAATTGCCAATTCCATACACTCTCCAAAAGACCTGTTATTTTCTACATAACCACAAGAATGTAGAAATTTTTATTAATCTATTTCTTGAAGTATTATAGTATCTTAATCCAGTCAAACTAGAAAATAAATATAAAAACTATGGTTAACTCTGGTCCTTAGTTCATTATATCTACCCAATAGGAAATGTATGTTATGTATGCCTAGAATAGAAATTTCATATACTTTTCAAAGTATTTGGCAACAATAGCTACAAAAAGATTAAGTTATTCTTTTGAAAGTAGACCTTACAAAATTAAATTAATTTATTCCTATTTCCCAGCTCAATCTAGGATACTCTTTGGTGGTAACAAATAGACAGATACTTCTAAGTTTTACTAAACAACTGTTTTCACTCAAACTTAGCGGTGTCATTTTTTAAACAGGAATACGCATGAATTTCTTCAGAACTGTTCCATTTTAAGTAATAAATTAGTGCTTTAGCAATCATTAAGGCTGTGTTTTCACAACTCTAATATATGGTAATGTGTCTCCCTGACTTCATTTTATATTTATACAAAATCAAATGTTATATTTAAGATCTTCAGGGTTTTCAGAGATATTTTACCTCTTTGTAATTTATTTTTATAAACCTGTATTTTACAATACATTTGGTCAAGAATTTTCAATACTTTAAGTAGATGTGAAGAAATTATAAGTTGAAAATTACTTGTATTTCTAAAATAACACTTTGAAAGTGTCTGTAAAAATACATCTATTTTTGTCTGAAGGTTCTATACACTACAGAAACAAGTATTTAGGATATAGACCAAAGAAATGCATGCTCATATTTTTGAAATACCAACAACTCATGTACAAATGGAACTGCTAATTAACCTACAGATACCTAAGATGATCTACTTGAATGCTGAAATATGAAACATCTGTTGGTAAGACATAACAGTATTTTGAGCTATCTGAAGTCTTAAAGAATTAAAGAAGAATTAAAAATAGATGGATACAAAAAATCAAATGAAAAACCAAACCTAAGAGTGAAGAAGAATATGATCTAGATAAATCACTGCAATCAACAGTACTATCATCTACTGATTTGTTTGGTTCCAATAGCTACCCCACTCACAGGGGAACTGGTATTTACCTTTCATTCATTCACTTGTTTAAAATTTCTTGCTCTGCACACTGGAATCTCAAGAAAGAATACCTTATTTACATTTGAATCCTTAGCAGCTACAAGCCTTATAAAAGCTAAGCAGTAATTGAAGGAGAGGACTCAAGGCTTAGAGCAGTTAATGTGATGAATAAAGGCAGTTGCTTTTTACTTATTCACTTCATCGATTCATCTTTTGGGGGAATCATTAAAAGAAAAATGTTTCCTATATTTTGAATAAAAATTCAAAAATAAATATAAGAGGATTAGGGATCTTCAATTGGTAGGCATATTTTATTTTTTTAAAAGATTTTTATTTATTTATTTGACAGAGAGAGACACAGCGAGAGAGGGAACACAAGCAGGGGGAGCGGGAGAGAGAGAAGCAGGCTTCCTGCAGAGCAGGGAGCCTGATGCGGGGCTCGATCCCAGGACGCTGGGATCATGACCTGAGCCGAAGGCAGACAGACGCTTAACGACTGAGCCACCCAGGTGCCCCGGTAGGCATATTTTATAAGATTCAGTTTGGTATTAGTATTTTAAATGAGTTCTTACTTGGCTCTGTGGGCTATTGGCAGCTATTTATACAATTTTTCTAAAAGTTTTATCACAAGATGAAATACTACATTTTTCTGCTTCATCACCTGTAAAAAGTAACTGTGCCTTATCTTAAAGGGTAAACAAATAAAATTAACACACTGTAAAAACAGAGATCTTAGAATGACTCTTAGCCCAACATTCAAAAATGTTATCTTCATTACTGATTCTCAAAACAGAGAGAACTATATAAGTCTCAGATATATCCATAGAAATTATCAACAATTATATTCTTACAATCTAGAAATATTTTCCAGGATAAAAATTGTTCAAAGGTTCCAAGGCACTCCACTATTTTTGTGTTGTGACAATATTATAACCAAAAACATATGTGTGCTGAACAATTTTCTTTAGCATAAAAAGTCCTACCTTTATAAAAAATGCTATCATTTTAGTAAGCCAAATGTATTCCTCTATGGAAAAGATGTTTCACAAGAAAATGTTTTCAATTACATGGAATATACTCCCAATTGACAAATATACTCCTGTACAACTTGGTGGTGAAACAAAGACACATATTCTGCACACATATTTAATAACCAAACCCCTAAAGATTAGCAACTTAAATATATTTTAATGTTTAAAGAATTAAATTTCCTATACAGAGATGACTTTACCAGTCCCCTGTCAAAAAGGCATGTACTTAAAGCTTTTTCCAGGCGTGGTCATGGTTTACACTGACCCAGCTACACTCACTAAAGTATGTTCCATTTGGCCAACAACAAGCATTTGAGGGATGGCTGTTCAGGGACTATACTGCTGGCCATGGTCAGAGAAAAGAAAGATCCCAGCTCATGCCCTTCCTTAGCATCTAGATTGCTCTAAGTAAATAAACCAGCTGCAAATATATATTTAAAACTAATCTCTCCAAAGAGAAAAGCATAAGAATCTCACAGATTTCAATTTGTTTTGCCAAACATTAATTCTTGGAAAACAAGCTCCCCTTGGCTTCAAACAAAAGCACACAACTTCTCCTGAAAAATTCACTGAAATATTCAGCAAAGAACACAAAGTAGATATAGGAATGCTTCTCATCTCTCTCACTCTTCTTCACACTAGTCAAAGTTTACTAAAGAATTGTAGAGTCCTGCAAAACAAATGTGAGTATGACAAAAAGAAAGAGAAAAAGACATTCTAGGTACAGGGTCAAGTACAAGCAAGAGGAAGGAATCATGAAAGGACATGATTTGCAAGGGCAAGTGGCAAAGGATGAAACTGGACACAATGAAGTGGTCACTGTATGCCAAGCTCAAAAGCTTGAATTTTTTCCTAAAGGTTAAGACAGACCATTAAATCATTTTAAGCAGGATAATAACAGATCAAAAGTGCATCTTTAAAAGATAAATTTAGTGGTATTTTGGAGAATGGACCAGGTATATGGAGGGGAGAAGAGTAGAAGCAGTGAAACCGGTTATTACGGTCCCAGAGAAATGAAATTCCACCGTTCTTTTCCTAGAAAAAATTTTGAAGAAATCAAAAGTTGTTTCCACTGGTGATAAAAACAAACAAACAAACTTGAAAAACAATGAAGGAATTAGAATAGCAAGAGATTCAGTACAGAAAGTGACCAAATATAACTCTTCATTTACCCATGACCATCTGAATGGATTGCTCCACATACCTGTTCCAGAAAATGACAGCTTATCCCTTTAAGTACCAAAATTAACTTGCGAGCTTGAAGAAAACCTCCTGAAAGTATTATTTCTTTTTTCTCAGAGTACAGGTAGCCTGAACATAATTTAACCATTCCTTGATGACCCAGAGGCAGCATATTAAAATGAAATACTGGGCCAGACTCACCTGTTCTTAGTCCTTAGAACCACCTGACATGGACAACTCTAAGCCACAGCAGGCCTTAGTTGCCTCTTCTACATAATGAGAAAAAAACTTTGCCAGCCAAAGCTGTGGGGAGGTTTGAACAGAATGAAGTAGCACTTACAGGTGGGGTTTTTTGTTTGTTTGAATGTTTTTTTTTAAATTTAGGGTCTCTTTGGATCATTGTTGGGGTTGCTTTCCCACCAGGTCTTTTCTTTAAATTTTTTCATCTTAAAAAAAAAAAAAATCATACTGAGTCAATCACTATTCCTTAAAATACTTGCAGGCCTGAGTTATCTGTATAAAACCAACTTTTCGAAACAATTCTTTCAAGATCCGTTCCTTACAGAATCATTACAAATCATCTACGAAGTAGTCATAAATTGAGTACTACTAAACCAGAGCCCACGGGAAAACAACTGACTTCCAAAAGAATTGAGTTTGGTGGGTAGATGTTATGTCAACCTCATTGCTATACTCAGCTCCTTGGGTCTCATTCATTTGTACAATATAAACAAAGCCACTTTCTCATGCCTTTCGGTTTTTTGGGTACAAAAACCATATTATTTATACACATCAACCGTGAAAGTAGAAGAAAGAGAGGCAGAAAATGGATACCTAGCTGTTAAAGAATTAGGAACATGACCATGACATTCTTATTCTAAGGAGAAGGAAAGCAAACTAATTTTAAAAACAGGTTTTCTGTGGTTTGTTCCTTTAACTAGGCAAGTAGTGTTTAAAACTACTCCAAGAACCTCATTAATTCAAAAACACCTGAAACCTTAGTATGGGCGAGATGACAGGGAAACTTTGTCTCCGAAATAGACATCCTAAATACCTGCCCCAGTGTGGCTATGGTTTTCTCAATCAACAAGCACCCTTACTACCTATACTCAAAACCTGACACTGGTTTACTTAATCTCTTTTATTACAACCACCCCAAAGTGACTATTACTGCCCTCGTCTTCCAGATAGGGAAACTGAAGCCAGGAAAGTTAAGTGACCGGTCCAAGGCCACACACTTGAAGGAGTTTCCTATTGAGTCTGGAAACCTAGAAGGAACCTGGAGGACTTAATTTCCCAGGCCTCCCATAGTATTCTTCACTAAAGGAGCCCCAGGGCCTACCACAATCGGGTATATTATATGGTGGTCGCTTAAAAGCCAGCCAAATGAGTAGGAGGAATTGTTTCAGAAGGAAACGCCACCATGCCCGGGCCGACCGGATAAGAGCTTCGTTCTGGACAAGCCCATCAACTATGATCTACCCTGGGGTCCTGGGGACCACACCCTCCCTAGGAATACGAGCCTCGCCGTCTTTTTCCCAGGCCAGGCAGTCAATTCTGGGGGAAGTGGCAGGTATGGGCAGAAAGGGGCTGAGGTCTAGCTCTGGGTGGACGTGAAGGCCTTTCACATCCGGCCCCAAAACAGCCCGGACCACCCAAACCCCTAAGTGCGTCTGCAATACCCGCAAAGAAACGGTCCGAGCCCAAGCTTCCCCGCTCCCAAAAGCGTGACCACGCCCCGACCGCTGCGTCAGCACGCCGCCGTGACGTCAGCCCGCCGCCGCTCCGCCATGGAAGGGGTCCAAAGGCGCCGCAAAGATGACGCTCAGCGAACGTTGGTGGAAACCACCGCCAGCGTACCTGTGTTCTCCAGCCCTGGGTCGGCTAGGAGAGAGGGGGACGCAGGAGGCAGTGCCGCAGGCGAAAGCTAGAAAGGAAGCCAAAGGACGCGAGGTGGCAAGGAGGCGAATTCCTAGAACTGCTTGCGGTGGAAGAGTGCCCGCCCAGGTGCAAGAGGGACGAAAGTGGAGCTAGTAACCATCAAGTGGCTTCTCTGGCAACGGCCGCCCCGCCCCTTCCGTCGGGCCACAGCCCACGCAGCCGATTGGCCGGGCTCGGGAAAGCAAGGGCTCGCGTCTGTTGCTATTGGCGAGAATCAGGGGGCGGGGCCGGGGAGAGGCTCTTTGTCTCTCAGTTGCTACTCTGGGTAAACTTTTCCCGCCCGCCCTTCAAACCTTTTGTTTTACATTAGTGGCCTCTTGTGTATAGTTACCAAAATCTTAATTGAGCTCAACCTAGAAAGAGAAATAAGACCGATAGAGTATGAATTTTCTGATAGTTGGCCTGGAAGTGCCCTGCCTGTGCTTTTTTAAAGGAGACATTTGAAAAAGCCCAAACAACCGCGACACAAGGAACTTTGTTTTAAATATATAGTATTGCTGTTTAGCTGGGATCTTCCCTAGGCCTCCTTCCTTCTGTTAAATTAGGAAGCTGGACGGTGATCTCCAAGGCGCCTTTCAGATTTCAAATTCTTTGCATCTGTACTATAGCCAGCTAGTATGATTTATACACTCTTGAACAAGCAAGGCAAGATTTTATTTGGAAAAGTAAAAAACTATCCACCTCAACTTAATATTCATGTTAAGAATTGTACACCATCATGTGAAATTTGCAAACAGAGCAATTGTCAACTGAGCAGCTTAGCCATGACATGGCATACCTCATTTTTGGTTTTACTAAAGAACATTTTCAGTCGATGATTATAGCAAAGATTTTTTTTTTCCCCAGTGCTGATTGTCCAGCAAAAAGTTCATGGCAGTTAAAAGTTCATTCATAACGAACATATAACTGTTCCATATATGCAAATGCTAAAGAGCAGTGGGGACTGATCCATCTCTTACTAATGAATCATGACCTCTGGCAAGTCAACTAACTTTGCTACTCTGAACTAGTCTTCCCCTCCTTTCAGAAAAAAAAAAACGGGAGAGAGGGAGGTAGACATGTGGAATTGGGGCAAGGAAAGTAATTTTGAGGGTCTTTCCAGCACTTACCTGGGATTCTAGCGAAACTTACTAGCTTGTCATAATAAGAAAATTAATTGTACACAAAATTAGGCTTCTCTTATGAAAAATACTTACATCAGTGTTAGATGTCACCACCTTTAAAAGACATGCGAAGGGAAAAACAGTCACAAAATTTCAAGATGATTACATTAGATTCTCAAACTGACTATTTGAACTGAACTATCCAGGTAAATATGGCATCTCTCATCTTCTAAATCTAATCTGTTCTAATCTAAATCTGAAATCTGGTTGGATAGTGAATTTTTGGATAGAAAGATCCCTTATTTTATATTATTTAAATGGAAAAAAAATTCATCCAGCCCTACCAAAAATGCCAGTTTCCCCAAATATCATTAAATAGTTGACTACCTATGAAATAATACATCAAGAATTTCCTCATAATTTAAAGCAGAGACCAACATACTTTTTCTGTAGAAGTCCACATAGTAAATATTTTAGATTTTGTGGATTATACAGTCTCTGCCATATTTAACTCTGCCATTGATGAATAAAAGATGCCATAGAGGATACATAAACACATGGCTTGGCTGTGTTCCAACTAAACTTTATTTACAAAAATAGATACCAGGATAGATTTGGCCCACAGGACAGAGTGTGCAGACCTCTGATATAAAGCATTTAAAATAAGTACCTAATAAATATTAAACTCATTAATGGTACCTTTGTATGTAGCAGATGCAAGATGCAATGTTGGGTGGTAATTTTGTTTTCCTTCCTCATGGGAACAAATATACACTGTAATTGTAAAAGTAGCAAACAATGAAATAGTGGTTTAAAGATACTTGATGAATGCAAATAAAATTTAGCAAAATAAAAAAGCAATTTAAAAAAATAGTTTGGTTGTGTAATAAATTATTTTCATAGGGTTTATCCCCCACTCTGAGTTGCATGTGTTCTCTCCAAGATGTTTTGGTTTTCTTTTGCTGTTTTAACAAACTTAGTGGTTTAAAACAACAACCATTTTATTTGTTCATGATTCTGTGGTGAGAAATTCAGGCAGGGTTCAGCTGTGTGGGTTTTTTCCTCCACGTGGCAATAGGTGGTGTCTCTCATCAAGTTGCAACCAGATAGCTGTTGAGGCTGGAATATCCAAAATTATGTTTGGTGACTAGGTGGGCTCAATTGGAAGGCTAAGGCCTCTTTCATCCTATCCATGCAGCTCTGCATGTGGCCAACTTGAGCTTTTTTTCATGGCAGGTGTGTTCCAAGAGTGAGTGTCCTAGGTAGCAAAGGAAGAAGCTGCAGATCTAAGGCCACACCAGTTACACAGAACCACTTCCACTGCATTTTGCTATCTAAAATATATCAGAGAGCCAGCCCAAATACAAGAGAAAAAGTAAAAGATTCCACCTCTTGATGGGACAGTGTCAAAGTCACATTGCGTCTATGGAAACAATTTGCTACGCAAGGCATTAAGGTATGTGCTATTTCCTGATCATCAGGTTCTGCCAGCACAATACAATAAATGTAGTAGACAAAAGCAATACCCCAAAAGGTAATGAAATGATCATGGTCTCTGCACACTATAGTATGAGAGAGAACTAAAGACCTAACATAGCTCCTACGTAAAGCAATAAATTCTCTCACGTTCTCACTTCCAGATAAAAATCAAACAACTTCAGCTGTTCTACACATATTAGGGTGAATAAAAGACATTTGCCAGAGCGATATCTGCATACTAGATGCTAGGAATTATACTTATTCACCCGATAAAAAGACTACATCTGGATCAACATTTTAGATGACCCATTCATCTTCTACCCAGGCCAAATAGAAGGTTAAATGCGAGTATGTTCAGAATCACCACGCCAGCATCTTTCAAGTCTTTGATGGTGGCATTAATCACTAGAATTCCCCTAGAAATATGGTATGGGACTTAGGTTAACTTTTTCAGTAGAAAAGGGTCATTCCAGGGCCTATCAATTGACCTTCTTATTATAATAGCCATGAATTAAGAAGCAATGTCGAGATGCTGTAAATCTCCATTAAGGTGATGAAGTTCAGATCTCTCTTCATCAGATCTAGCAATTTTTCATTATTATAGATCAAGTAAGATCTTAGAAGGCTGTCCATCCATTTCAATTACAGGGACACCATAATCACTTTCACACTGCTAAAGATCCCTCCCAAACAACTATGATTACTGCTCTGGCCCCGGGGCCTATTATGGTAAACACCGCTATCTCATCCCTGATGCTTAAGCGAGATCAGTTGGCCTCTGCCACTTTGATATCCTATTATTTCCATTAGGGAATTAGAGATCCTATTCAATTGCAGCATCTCCTAACTTCATCCCTGGGCTTAGAGGACAACAGCTTCCTCTCCCTCCCAATATTTTCTCAATGCATTAGTGAAGAGAAGGTCCTCTAGCCTTCTCAGGATACAATTGGAGATAGGTGACTGAGTCACACATGATAAATCCATTCCAACATCCTATCTCCCTAAGTCTTTTAAGAGATTTCTAGCATCTCATCTTTATTTAGTGCAGGACAGCATTGGATCCAGGTTTCAACAACCAAGCAAACCTTGAACCACTCCCAGATGCTCAGGCAAGCACAATGAGTCCATGGTTTTTGTTTGTTTGTTTGTTTTTTAAAGATTTTGTTTATTTATTTGACAGAGAGAGAGAGTTCACCAGTAGGCAGGCAGGCAGAGGGAGAGGGAGAAGCAGGCTCCCCACTGAGCAGGGAGCCCGATGCGGGGCTCGATCCCAGGACCCTGGGATCACGACCTCAGCCGAAGGCAGACGCTTAACAACTGAGCCACCCAGGTGCCCCAGGTCCATGGTTTTTGATTAATATATCCATATTGATAACTTCGATCTCATCAAAAATTGTATTCCTTTGTCCCTGATCTAACATCCCTGGAATTCATTATCATATTCCATAGGTTTCTGCCAATATAAATCAGCAAAATCACGCACATTTTTTTAATATGAAAGACTTCTCCCAAGTCAGACTTTTTACTTGTGCCCTGGAATATACTGAGATCTAACTATAGATTTATAGACCTTGTAATACTGGCATCTAGTAGGTAGAGGTCAGCTGCTAAACATTCTTCAATGCACAGAACAGCCCCTAAAACAAAAAATTATTCAGTCCAAATGTTAATAGTGCTAACATTAATAAATCCAGGTCCAATAGAGAGAATGCAGAGGCCACTAGCCACCTATGGCTACAGAACATTTAAAATGTGAGTAGTCTTAACTGAGACATGTTGTAAGGGCAAAACAAACACTGAATTTGCATATGAAAAAAGGACAAAATATGTAATTACTTTACATCCTTGCCAACATTCATTATAGCCACTTTTTAAAAAATTTTAGCTGTTCTAGTAGATGTGAAGTGGCATCTCATTGTGATATTATTTGCATTTCCCTGATAACTAATGATGTTGAGCACCTTTTTAATAGTTATGAACCATAAGTGTATCTTTTATGATGTGTTATTCAGTCTTTTGCCCTTTTTGTATTGGGTTGTCCTTTTACTACTGGTTTGTAGTTCTTTATATTTTCTGAAAAAAATCTTTTATGAAATATATATAATGAATATTTTCTCCCACTTTGTATCTTGCCCATTCATTTTCTTAATGATACCTTTTGGTGAGCAGAAATTTTAAATTTTGATACAATCAAATATCCTTATCCATTTTTCCTTTTATAGTTTTGTGGAGATAATTGTATTTTTTCTAGACTTTTTATGATTCTAAGCTTTTATATTTAAATGTATGATCCATCTTTTTAAAAAAGTTTATTTATTTACTTATTTGAGAGAGAGAGCATGGGCAGAGGAAGAGGCAGAAGGAGAAGCAGACTCCCCGCTGAGCAGGGAGCCTGATGCAGGGCTCGATCCCATGACCCCGAGATCATGACCTGAGCTGAAGGCAGACACTTAACTGACTGAGC